CCTCTGCCTTGTTTCAATAATGACAAAATCGATGGGAAATGTGATTTAAATACATCTCAAATTGTGTTTATCAATTCGAAGTTTCATTGAAAATAGTAAACAAATAATGGAAATGACAAATCAATATTGATTATAATCCTCATTTTTCTTCAACCGTACACTTAACATGCTGTTTTTTTATCTATATTTATTTCCAAAGAGCGCAGTAATTGAAAGTAAACTACGCAACATCCGGTTATGTTGACCATGTGTCCATCGATTTGTTAGATACTCAGAAACCCTTAAAATATCAAAAAGCAATCAAACAATTTCGATTTTTAATAAAAATTGCAAATATTTGGTTGTGTTTTTCCGCCTAACCTAGCGCCTTTATAACAACTTAACGCTTAACTGCTTTCGTCAAAGCAAAACGTCATGCGACAGTAACCCTCCAAGGAGGAGGCCCGCTGCAATTAAATATTTGCTTTCCACGATGGATATGAAACTGCGACGTTTCTGGTATTCTTGATATGGAAAGAACTGTTGTACTGTGTTCCCGTATACACTATACTATGTTATTGCAATATGAAGTCAGATTTTGACAAAATATTTAATTTATTATACTATTATAGTGAAGTATTTTATTTGTTGTTATTGAGGAGTGTGCATTCCACGTTCTGGGAAACCATTTTGTATGGTTTGGTTCAGTTTAGTTTTATTGCAGCAGAACACTAATTTGCTATAATTGTAGAGCAGGGAATATTAATATTAATTCATATAATTTAAACAAATTATATCAAATAATGATGATTTAAAATAAAGGAAACGAGATTTAATATTATACATTTATTTTTAACGACTTCAGTATTTTGTACTTCGTAAAAATTCTTAAAATTGCAGATTATTAGATGCTTGAAATCTGCAATCCAGGCCCGCGGGAAATGATTTTCTGTTGCACTGAGAAAATAGTGGGGGCGGATCGAGCAGATCAAGAGGGGGGTCTTAAGATTCATGTTAAGTAATAACCATTTATATTTATTATATTATATAAACAAATAATACTATCAAATACTTTGATGTTTCAATAATTACATAATTGTAATAATAATATACACAAAGAATGAAAAACATTTATTTCCAAACAAGAATAAGCAGCGTAACAAATGAAAATAAAAATATTTAATATAACATAACTACATAGTGTAAAGGCGTGGAGGGAAGGAAAAAAACAACTTTATATATATATATATATATATATATATATATATATATATATATTGTCAATAACTACTACACTCGAGGTAGTAATCATATTCATCAGGTAACAGTATCAACAGCTCACTACAAAAAATTCACATATAATACATGTACATTATTTTTACAACACCTTGCCATATGACATGAAACTATTAAATTCGACACAAAAATTAAAGTCCCAAGTAAAGTCTTTTCTGCTGCACAACTGTTTCTATACAATTAGAGACAATACCGAGCACCCAAAAGAGAAGTAATATTAATTATAACAATGACATTTTATGTATTATATGTCATTTGGATTGTATAATTGTAAAGAACTTGTTACAAGTATTGCATTTCAGCTTCTGGGTCAATGACCCCCATCTCGATCAGGTTTTCATACAGTTTCCCTGATCCTCGAGTAAATGCCGCGATAGCCCCTTGTTTTGCTTCTGGACATAAATGTAACTTCAAATTAACTTCTCCCCATAGCACGTCACACAGTTTTTAACTGTTTTTGACGTATATAAATAAATAAAAAAATAAACTTAAGTTCTATTATAATTATTTCCCACTTTGCCCCCTTGCAAAATTGACGCACAGTAAGTTAGTACAAGTTATTAATACTCCATAGATAGAATGAGTTAATATTCAGATACACAAATAACAACTAAATGAACGTGTCATTTCTGCGGTACAAATTTATAACAAGAAATGAAAATTTTAGAAATAAATATACAATAAAATTAATAAAAGTAACAATGATAATAACAATTTCGAAAAAAATCAGTACACTTTCATTTATTCAAATCCTGCATAGGCCGGGAAGCAGGTTAAATCCAGGCCAGATCATATACTCTTCCAGACGAGTAAAATAATAATCCAAAAATACAATACTTATTATAATAATTTTAAAGTTTTAAAGTGTATGTGGCGTTAAACGCAATAGTTTTAAAATGTATGTTGCATTAAAACAACACTTTGTGTCAACGTGTGATAGTGGTGCTTCAAAGGCACAAACTTTATTGCATTATTAGTAATATTCTTTGCAATATTATAATACTACAAGAACTGACAAAAGTGTTTTTAACTAGCAAATTTTACTTTCTCACTACGGAGTAGGGAGAAAATTATGAGATGCTGCGCGAAAAACGGCGACTTTTCGGCAGAAAACCGCCCTGGTAACGAAAAGTGGATAAATTCAGTTTCTAAAGTTAGAAAAAAAAAGGTACTCTAACATGTGTAGCCAAAATACACCGTGGGTCCGTGATAGCGCAAAAGGTAAAGACTGCAAAACTCTCTGTCCGTCTGTGTACAACGCTAGCGATTAAACCGTTCAGACGATTTCCTCCAAAATTAATATTCCCCAATTTATCTGGCTGATGTCACGATCCTTGAATTTCAAACCTATATTTTTAATTTTGAAGGATACTTTACATAAAGCTTATAATTTTCCATATTTTCAAAAAAAAAAGGCTCCATTTGTTTTGGTGAAATTTTGTTTCTGAATAGTGTAAGGACGTTGAAGTGAATGGTGTAGGACTCATGTTGGTTGAAAACCTTTTTTGTTTTGAAAATTGCAAAAGTTTCTCGGAGTCTTCCTACAGCTAATATATTAAAGATGGAGAATTTTCTCTTAACGAAATCTGTTCCTTAAAGATACATTTTGAAAGATCTGTACAATTTTTCGAAAATTTGAGTACTTTTCTCGTAATTTTGCGTGAAAATATGGGCGAGAAAGTACGTGGTGCTTTAGCACATCTAGTATTTTCTCCGTGCTGTGATTCGAATTCAGGATCTTAGAGTTAGCACGCCATCCATGATGTTACCCCTACTCACCAGCTTTACATCGATGCTTTAATAAGAGTTGAACATATGCGTTTGCAATTTTCAAAAATTCGGAAATCCAAATTACATTATTTCAAGAATTACAATTATTATTAAATATCATATTTTAAGGTAAAAAACTCTTATCACCAATATCGTGGCTTTCCAATGTTAAATTTTTGTTTGCAATTTTTGGAAACACAGGAAAATTGCTGAAAATAGGACCAGCGTCATTTTGAGTGTCCTTCGTTCTATCTGAGGGGAAATGGGGGAAATGTTACGAAAGCTTTGGAACCGTTTTAAAGATTTTTAAAATAAATTGTTTCTATTTCAAGTAAAAATTATGCAAAAACTACTTGTCTAGTTCAATTCTATATGTTATAAATTTCAAAACCAAATTTTAAACTATATATTGATTGCTACAATTTAAATTTCCTGTCATTCGAAATCTCCTTTAGTTCAGAAACAGAGCTTCACTGAAATCTGAAGGAGCATATGAAAAAAAAAAAAAAAAAAAAAAAAAAAAAAAAATTTGATACTCTCCATTCTGCTTTCTAATTTTACTTTCCTATGAAGTAGGAAGAAGTAATAGCTGCGCGAAAAAAAGGCGAATTTTCGGCTGAAAACACTTATTAGAACCCTGACAACGAAAAAGAGGAAAAAACAGTTGCTAAATTTAGAAACAAAATCCTCTAACACGTGGTAGTCTGAATCCATGTTTTGTGCGTTCTTGATACTGAAAATTCGAATGACTGTAACACGTCTATCTTTTCGTCTGTCCGTCTATGTACAACGCTAGCGGCTAAACCGTGTAGCCGATTTTCTTCAAAATTCAAATGACGCAATCGATCTGGCTGATGTCGCGGTCCCTTGAATTTGCCGCCGATATGTTAATTTTGAAGGGAATTTTACATGAAGCCGCTGGGATATTTTTCCAAAATTTCAAAGAAATAGCTGCATCGTTTTTGTTTAAATTTTGTTGTTGAATAGTGTGAAGGGTGTTTAAGAGAATGGTGCAGATCTCATGTTCGTTGATAACCCTAATTTTTCGAAAATTACAAAAGTTGAAATTTTTTCAGTCTTCCTACAGCTAAAATATTAAAGATAGAGATTTTTTTCTTAATGAAATCTGTTCCTTAAAATTAGATTTTGAAATAAGGTACAATTTTTCTAAGATTTGAGTATACTTTTTGTATTAAAAAGTACGTTTTGCGCAAGAAAGTACGTGCTGTGTTAGAACCACTAGTTCCTTATGTTTATTATTTTTATTTTTTCTTTATCTTTTGCCCAATCTACAAACATGTTCTCGCTGTGGATACGCCTCTGAAAAAAAGTGCGTTTAGAAAACATAAATATATTGTTATGAAGTGTACTACGATGTTCATGTTTTATTGTTCCGCTAAATTAAAATTTATTTATTTATTCTCGAAAAAACAGCAAATTTTTATGTGACGTATGGAGGAAATACGTAATGTTTGACTACGTTTTGCTTAATAAATATTTATATTATGTAATAATTGTTATTAATTTATTAATAAAACATTAATATACAATTAGGTCTACGATGACTTTAATATTCTGTGTATAGGTGGAAGTTTTTCTTTGTCAATAAAAGTGAAATGAATTTTACATAGATTTCGACTTTGTGAACGTTTGTATCTACCCGTATCCTAAGAAGTGTGGGTATCCAAAAGAGATAAACATCGAGAAAGTAATATTATATCCAAAACGTCAGTTCTTCAAGAAAGAACTGAAAGCGACGACAATCGGGCTGTAAAGCCGAGGGCCACCGCCGTTGCCCTCCTGCTGCGGGCGCCGCGCCGGGCCGGGCCGGGCCCCCTGCGCGCGCGCACCGATGACGTGTGCAAAGGCACCATCGCGGGCCGGCGCACCTGTTGGCTCCCACCCCCGCCACCGCCCGAGAAGGCCGGCTCGGAATTGATCGGCGGGCGAAATCCACAGAATAGTTATGCGTGCGAGGGAGAAAAGGCGCAGGCTCAGACGGGTAGGCTCGCGGGATGACCCAGAGCGGCGAAGGGCGCCGGCGCAGCAACGAACAGCCGGACTATGCTCCAGAAGGCGACGGAGGATTGCGCGGCCTGCCGAGGTCATAGATAACGCCTGGATACGTAATACCGTCGTTGCCACCGCCGCCGTCGTCGCCCACTATCAATACAGTGCGTAAGCGCCGCTGGCTCGTCGTGTCCCGCGGGCGGAGCTGCTTGGTCGAGGCCGGCCGGTCCCCCGCGCACCTGCGGCCCCCTCGCGACCGCTTGCCCGACTGCCAGTCGGCCGCCGCCGTTGCCGCCTCGCCAGGTAGGAAAAAGCGACTCGAGAAGAGACCTCGGAGCTACGCGAGGAAACGATGGCTCAACTCCCGATCAACATTGATCAGCCGCGATGGGACCAGAGTACATACTGGGGGCGGGCTCGTTATTACTTCTCCACCACAAACCCATTGAACCTACTAGCTTCTGAACAAGATTTAAATGACGCGAAAACGGTGGTCGATAATTACAGGTAAGTCATAATTTTACGCGCATTTTATTTCTTCAATGAACATATGTTTAGGCATAATTATTGACAGGTTTTCTGTGTGATTTTTATTCCCGAAAAATGGTCAATTCCAGTAATATTAAAAAATATGTACTACATTATGTTTGAAATTATAACACAAACTGTCCAAACATATTTCAAAGTGGAGGGGCAATTTCAGCTTCAACTCATCCCCTAAATATTTTTTAAATAATAATTTTAAGGTGGTAGCTTGAATATTGAAAAATTAATATTGGGAGTACTACTTTGAATGTGATGTGATCAGTGTGTGATAATTATTTGGAATAAGTGAGGTAAAATTACAACAACAATGTTAGCTTTTGGGTGGGGATCTCTGGAGCATGGCCTACCATTGATTCCTCCCTTGCACTGAAGTGTAATAAAAAGATTAAGGTATGGAAAGCTCAGAAACTTTTTCTCTCCCAGAAAAAATGGGAAGCTGGAAAACATAACAGAAGATGAGCTCTGGAGAGCCAAGGAATTATATGATTCTGCATTCCATCCTGATACGGGAGAAAAGATGATTCTTATTGGTCGTATGTCAGCTCAAGTGCCCATGAACATGACAATTACAGGATGCATGATGACATTTTACAAGTAAGTAAATTCAAATTTAATCTCAGTTTCACGAAATACATTATTCTAAATATAGTTAAACAAACTTTAATATTTCTCCAAATATAATGAATTAAAATTTTAATTGTGATATTTGATCCTAAATGAATAACGAAATATGATAACTCCTAAGATACAAAATTACTTAATTCCCTACAGCAAGCATTAAACTAGTGTTAACTAGAAAGGCTATTCAATTTTTTAATTGTATATTGCAGGTCTACTCCAGCAGTTGTCTTCTGGCAATGGGTAAACCAGTCTTTCAATGCCATTGTTAACTACACAAACAGAAGTGGGGATTCACCAATATCTAATTCGTGAGTTATTTTCAAATTAATTTAATAGAGAAAAAATCATTGCTTATGATTGTAAAATAAATATAATTTGTCACCAGTAATTTTTTTTAAAATGTCCTGTCATGGTTGTAATGCTTGCTCCAACACTCATGCGACCTTTAAGCCTCCATAGTTGCAATGATTTGCATCATTTTATTTTCAAAAAATACTTTTTAGCTGTGAATGCTCTCTATGTTTCACCCTCTCTATCTTCTACTTCACTTTATGCATTCTACAATTTCATGAAAAAACAAATTATTTGCACAGCAGTTGTCTAACTAATTTCATTATTATTCAATTCTACACTTTGCCCCCTAGCATTCAGAGTCTAGGGTAGTTTTTGTTTCCAGACAACTTGGCCTGTCATACACACTTGCCACTGGAGGAGCTTTGGCCACTGCTCTCACACTCAACAGCATGGTGAAGGTGAGACCCTTCATTCCTTTTCTATTGGTCTGCTACTTTTTCAATAATTGCATGTTACTTTGGCTGATCCACTTTCTCCTATTAATTGAATCAGGTGATATATTTTTTTTATGTTAACACCTCAGAAATATTTTATATCCAAATACAATCTATCATTTATATTCTAAAATAAAAATAACAGAAAAATAAATTTAAGTCTACCTCTAATATTTAAATAACACAAAATTTATTATTAAATGCATTGAAACTTGAAATTTCTTCTTAAATTTTAGAGGTATCCTTTACATAGGCTATTGGTTATGACAGAAATGTGGTCTTACTGTACAATCATTTCATGTTTTTTATTATTAAAAAATTGATCAGTTTTCAAGTAAGACAAATTTCTTTAAAGACAAACGATAAGAAAAGTCTTATCAGAATTTGCTTCTCATTTTCAATATTATTCCCAATTTCTTGTATATAGTTTACATTCACAAACATTACCCTTTAAATGCTGTTCATATCTGAAATAACAGAAAAAAACATACTCAAAATAAGCTTTTAAGTGGAAAAATTCAAGTAATTGAAAATCTGCATACATATCTTTGGCTAATATATCATAATTTTCAAGAAAAGAAATAAAAATGTTGAAATTTAGCGAGGGTTAACAGTTCATGAAAAATTATGAATTTTCATAAAATCCTAACACTCAATATAATACATCTAGGATACTATCCTTAATGCTTAGGTTTACCCTGTCTCCTGATATCCTCCATAGAAAAGATAATCAAAATATTCATAATTATTATTTATGGGGGCAGGAAATTTGTAGTGCAATTTGTTTGTTCTATTAGAAGGAGCAGAAGTTATGAACACTTTAGTTTACATCTTTAACTCAACAATACTTTAGAAAAATATTGAATCTCTAAATTTGTACAATTCATTACAAATTATTAGTTTTAAATTGAATATGTGTTCTTTTGTAAATATTTTTGGACCAATAATTGTGTTAGCAGGCATGTCATTTACATTTCATTCAAATGTTCATACTGTTGTTTCTAATGGAAATATGTGTCGTCCATTGTCTTGCAGCGAGCTCCGCCATTAGTTGGTCGCCTTGTGCCTTTTGTGGCTGTAGCTGCAGCGAATTGTATCAATATTCCCATGATGAGACTTCAGTAAGTATCAAGAAGTAAACTGTCATGGTCTTGCAAACTGCATTTATAAATATATTTAATAATGTGAAATTTTTTAAATAAAACAATAATATTATTGATACGAGACATCCTCGTGGAACTGCAGATATTTTTTCTGAATAGGAAATCTTTTGTGAAGTAACTACATAATCCCATGGATCTTGAGAAGAAATAAATTTTCTCAGATCTTCATTATTCTCTTCACTGCTGATCCAAATTCAGCAGTAATGTCTTTCTCTGTACTTTTTTTATTTCTGATCAATTTCAGTTTTTCTATAGGTAGTTCAGTTTCAAATTCAAACTTCAATTCGAAATTAAAAAAACTGAAATATGTCAAAAGAGTGTCAACAAACTCTATTCTACTAAAACCACCTTAGTAAAGCACCTAGGTAAAGCAATTCAGTAAAAAATAACGTGCATCATTTTCACAGGAAAGGTTTGACTTGGAAAGATTAAAATTCTAACTCTCAGTGTGTCCATCCATCAATTAGTGCAGATCATACATGGCATAATTTCAATGTACACAGGGAACTAAAGGAAGGAGTTCCAGTGACTGATGATGCAGGCAACAAACTGTCAACATCAAAAGTAGCTGCACAACAAGGCATCGCAGCGGTCACCTTCAGTCGCATAGGAATGGCTGCGCCTGGAATGGGTGAGTATGTAATTAACGTATATATAGTAAGCATATTTATGAGTAAGTGTCATAGAATGCTAATGTTTTTAAAAACATGAAATATATAATAGAGACCATAAAATGTGCAGTTGAAAAAATGTCTACTGTAAACTTTGTGTGTGTACAAATGGAAATCTAATTTAATGAAATATATCTCATGGCTTGGACTGGCCAGTACATTGTCGTCCATTCAATAAATGAATGTGGTCCAATGATTTGTTCTACATAAAAACTTTGATCTAAACAGAATCAATTGCTCAAGAATCTGCACTAAAGGTGAGCACACAGCAAAATATATCTGGGCATTCAATTGTGAAGTTTTCAGTTTTTGAACACAAAACCTAGGGATGTTTTCTGTTTTTAAACTTTAAATTTAATATTTAATATATTTAAGCTATATTCATTATTCAGGTACTATTTTGAGGATTATATTATTATTGACATGGGATCTTCTGCAAAAGGGAAATGGAAATACAGATACAAAAGGTGCCATATAATTTAGTTTACATCTTAGAACTTACAGCCCGCCGGTAACAAGGTATAAAAACTATGAAAATAAATTTATTTGAAAGCTTGGGTGAAAAAAGAAAGAAAGAACAAAAAGTGAACTGAATAGAAGAAGATTGGAGTAAAATTAAGAATATATATTGAACTGTTAAAGAAATGGTGATTTGAACTCAAAGAAAATTTACGTTAATTTGATTCAGAGTGTTGTTCATCAAATTTATTTAAACAAAGCTTGAATGAATTTTCTGCAAGTGTAACAAGAATACTGATAATTTTCTTGAGCAATTGTGAAGTTACAGAGTGGATTCAAAGATGGAAAACATACGACAATGTTTTTGAGTGGTGTGATAGAGTAATGGTGTGAAATATTATGTACTTGATATTACTGTATGTTTCTTGATAATACTTCACAAAATGTTGTGAAATGTACTTCAAAGACGTTGGATTGTGTGTAAATTTTTTATTTAATTTTTATTTTTTTAGTTTAAGATTGATAAGGGTATGAAATGGTTTTGTCGATGGATGAATTTACAGAAATAAAAATGTTTTTAAAAATGGATCTGCTGATAAGGACTGCAAATTTACTAAAAATACTAGTCTGAGAAACCAAGAACTACAGTATCCTTAAAATTTTGTTGAATAAATTTTCAAAATGCATTCATATTAAAAGATATCAACTTCTATTTAGAAAATTCAATCTCAACTGAAATATGATAATATATCAAAATATAATAATTATTGAACTGTTACTTATTTTAAATCATTGGAAGTGAATTTGTCAAAATTTGTAAAGGGTAGTAAAGCATTTTTGGACGACAAAAAAGGGTATGAGAAGTACATGGATCACATTTGATAACATACTGTTGTGATTGTCATTATGATATCTTAGGTTTTAAATAAAATGGCTGAAAAGATTAATATCTATTATGAGCATGAATATTCTGCATCAGGGAAAACCAACATTCAGGAAAAGATGCAGTTAAGAGAGAGATGCTTAATAATTTTCAAAAAGAGGCTTTTTCTTGCCCAGTACTATTTCTGCAATAAGCTAAATAAAATATTGTAGCCCATCTATTATTATGTGTTATTATTTAAGATTGCCTATTGTATGCTACATTGATAATGTAATAGTTGTTTATTACATTTATTTTCAAATAATACTACATTTGAAAACAATTCAGTTAAACATTTTTCTTAATTTGCAGCTTTAACTCCCGTTATCATGGAGTCTTTAGACAAGCGTGGTGTTTTCAAGAAACTTCCATGGGCTCCAGCCCCATTGCAAGTCTTATTGTGTGGCTTCTTTTTGACTTTTGCAACACCTATGTGCTGTGCACTATTTTCACAGCGTGCTGCCATTAAAACAAGTCAACTTGAGTCTGAAGCACAGGTCAGCATTTGTATACGAATGTTTTTCTCAAAATCAGAGTTCAGTATAATAATCATTGTACAAGTATTGTAACAATATAAATACACAATTTTTTAACTCTTCTTAATAATTGGGACATCTGATTCTATTCATCTGGCAATGACATCTGGTTCTATTGATTTGTTATTCTATCAAATGTTTACATTTCATACTGTTTATTTTACAACAAAAACATACAAGGGAGTGGAGGTTGGGAGTGTTTGTACAAACATAAATAGCAGAAATTATAATTGATGTTAATGTTTTTATAAGAAGATTTTTAATGTGTTTTAATTTTTTTTTTTTCAGGAGGAAATTGCAAAAAAATGCTCACCACCTCCTGAGGTTGTTTTCTACAATAAAGGATTATAAGAGGGCAAAAAAACAATAAAATTGATTGGTCGATCAGTTGTTTAATGTTGGTATTGATGCTGTCAAATGCAATGTTTGTTTGTTCTATATTGGTCAACTGGAAATACTTTTGATACTCTTACTTATACTGTTATTATGCTCAGAAATGGAACATGTAACTTTATTAGGGATTATTTGAATTATGATTCCATCAAAGCTATGTTCAAGTGTGTATGTGGCAAATTGACACATCAGTATTTTAATGTTTATCTACTAAGTACTTGTTTGGAGTATCTGTCCATCCTGAGATCAATGATGTTAATATTTGTGTAATGGATAATGTAATGTAGAATACATATTTGTATATGTCATCTGTCAAACTGAACTTGACAAATCTGATTTCTGGTTTAGGAATTATATTTACACAAAATTTCCTTAGCATGTTTGTTGTACACAGGCCTACAATTCTCGAGTTAGGGACATTGAAAAGTCTCTGTAACTAAACTCAGCAAAATATGAACTTGGGGATAAAATAAATTTAATTCTTTCAGGTCTTGCCTACCAAACATTTTTTTCTTGCAATTATTTGGGTATAGTACAAAGAATCATATTATGTAAGATTATTTTAATATCTGCAAGTGAGGTTCCCTTGAAATGACATGGAGGAATTTTGTTGTAAGAATTGCAATATCACTAATTTTGCAAATTATATTTGCATTTAATTTAAGACATTAAAATGATTATTGTTTTTTACTTTTGCGCAATTATATTGTTAATATTGGATGATGAATATCAAAGAAAATTGTGTAGTAGTGTGTCTTCACAACTCTGTAATGTAAACATATCAACATATTGATATACATACAAATACTATTTACTGTTCTGTCAATTGAGCAATGAAGTGCACAATTAAGAGAATGAGCCAATGAAAAGCATTAAAAAAGTGTCCATATTATTCCTATTTAGCTTCCAAAATATTCAAAACATTTTAGTACTTTATCTAGGAGAAAGTTTCTTGTTCCCATAACTTTCATCTGGTACAATGGCTCTCTTTATGAATTGATTAATTTTATCAATGAAATTCTGAACTTCCAGAAATAAATATATCTTAACTATTTTGCAGTGTATCAAGTTACGGCCATCCCTAATCTTCTATGGCACAGTCAGTTAATTGTACAGCACAAGCAGCCGTTTTTGATGAACCACCTCAACCAAGAATAGCTTCCCCTATGTAAATATCCAATTTCCATTAAAAACATTATCAGAGACAGATCGTGATCAAATAGTGCCAATGGAAAAGCAGTGAAACTCTGCCCTTATCCAACAACTTTATATCTTAATTAAGAAAACAAAATGTTACTAAAATAAATTAAAATTACTTTCAATAGTTACTACTACAAGAAAAATTGATGCAAATTATAATTTACAAGCAAGTACTAATAGGGAATGCCTGAAAAATGTTTTGACCATTGAATATTGAAAAAATGGCTTAACAAGAAGAATTTGTCTAATTAAATGTATTAATTTTAACATTGATTGTGTAATTGAATTACTTTTCTATTTATTAATTTTTTTACAATAATAACAACTTTTGTTATGCTATAAATATCAAGAATGGAATATGAAAAAAAGCAAGGGAACAAGATTTCTGATTTCTGTCAACAGTGGTTAAAAAAAAGTATAACATTATGATAACAAGACTTTCTAGATTTAATACATTGTAATAACTCTTTTAAAAAAACTATTTATTCCATCTTTTTTGTGTAAAGAGTTTATTTTCATAATTAAAAATAATGAAGATAATTGCCAATTAACAATTTATCACAAATGTAGTGTTTACTGGCTATTGTCAGTAGTGCCAACGAATCGTGCCATACCCTACAATTGACGGATGTTTGATGTTATCACAATGTACTAATTAATATAATTGGTATTTACACAAATTGTTGAAGAATACATAAATAAGTACAGTAAATTCTCTTTAAGTTGCACTTATTTAGTTTCCTTGGAAGTTCTCAATTATTTAAAGTGATGTCCAAAATACGATGGGACCATAAAATATTATGTGTGTCCATATCCAGGGAATGATAGAGCAGAAATTTTTGGCTTATAAGTTACGATTGTGCTAAGAGAACATGTAAACAAAACTAAAAGTCATAATCCCATTACTGTCAGTTTGAAAAAGTGGAAAAACTTATTGCCATTTTTCCCACATACTGTGGGAACCCCATTATTTGAAAATGCAATTAATGGAGATGAATGGTATATAGAAATTTTTTTGGAACAGTGAATACTTTTTTTAACATATTTCTTTATTAAAATTTGAATCAAAACATTTGAACCAATAAATAAATTACTTTAATTATCAGGCGATCACCTTTTTCTGTTATTCCTCCGGATATTGGAAGTTCATTAGATAAATTATAGGTATGTATACACACACGTACATATGAAATAAAACACACATTAATTTACAATTAATTCATTTTATTAATATTTATATTATGAACTATTTAGTTAATTAAATTAATTAGAATTAATGAACGAGAAAAAAATAACAAATTGTTAAATATAAATTAAGATCATATTGCTTTGTGAACATTTTCTTGCATTCCATTTCAATTGTGATATGAACATTATTTTTTTAATATAATATATATGATTATATGGGCAAGCTATGGCATTCTAAATTACACATTTGGAATGCTGCAGCTTGAAAAGCACTGCTCTAGAGAAGGGTGTGAATTGGAGTTTTTTTACACATTACATTTTGCCAAATTATGACCTTCATATCAATTATGAGTGAGGTCATTGAATTCAACCATTCCAGTGGTCAGATTTAAGTCAGAAAATGTTTAGTGTTAAAGTTTGTGAAAAGCTTGCCTCACTAATGACAATAAGCACCGTTATCCTAGAATATAAGGTTGTGTATGTATAGTGTTGATATCAAAGGTCTCCAGTGCATTACTGCTCAGATTCCATTTCAAGTAGTGTGTTTAATGTTATGCTTCCTAGTTAAAAATACTCTGTTGTACACGGCTCATTATTGAATTTTGCTGTTCTAAATGGGAGTTGTTATGTATATTGTTATTTTATATTTTCTGATGAAGTGAAAATTCACATAAAGTTTATGTTTACTTGGAAAAAATTGCCATTGTATCAATTATTTTTCTCCTTCAACATGAATTTGTTCTTTTAGAAATAAAATTGGGAAAAAGTTTCTCAAAAACCAAAGTTACAACATGTGCTACATTCAATAAACATGATAATTTGTAATGCATAATGTTGAATGCCAAGGACATAACAATGCTAGGTCTCTGCCACACAAAGAACACACATCATTTTGACGAGCAAAGGGAAAATGTTAAGCGTTTGACCCTCTTTTTCTTTTTTGAGAAACTTACTAAGAAATAATTTTAAGCACTTGTACTCACAAATGTAACAATTTATAAAACAACCTAAAATATAAATATTAATAACATGAGAGAGATTTGAAACAATACATTTGTACATTTTTTTTATACTTCAAAATAATACATCAAAGTTGCAATAATGTCATGCTATTCAGTGCAATTAACACTAACACAAAGAGTTTTAAAAATATTTGGAACTGTTTTAGAGAAAATCTTGTTTTTGATGTTATCCATATTTCTATTCAAAATTATGCAAAATCTAGTATAATTTTCAAAAAAATATAGATGATATTAATTAAAGAATTAATTGTGGAGAACATATTTCATGTTAAGAAAAAATATTTGTACAATAATGCAGTTGAGTGAGGGGTCCCCAGAATTTCAAACTTCAGCAATTTTCGAAAATTTCTGAATTCCACTTTATTCCTACAACAAAATTAATCCACAAACGTGGAGCGATTTTTGAGAAAAAATTGAAAATGTCCTTGAGATTCCAGCGGCAAACCAGATCGATATGAGGGATTGTTTGTATAGTTTTGGTGAACATTCTGCCTATCGTTTAGCCGATAGCGTTGTACAGTCAGCCAGAGGGACCGACGGTTTGCGGCATTACGTAATTTTCTCTACACAACGTATGAAAGCCGTTTGTCAAATCGCACAAAAAATACCAAAATCTGATCTTCATATTTTTTTAAAAAAATTATGTATTAAATAAGTTAACACTTTTTATTTTTTTCGATCTTTATTCTTTTCGGAAACATTGCAAGATGAAATTTGCTAGAAATGACGCGCATAACTAACTTGAATACTCTTAATTATTGAAACTCTGATCATATTTCAATCGAAACTTGTAAACATGATTATTTTTTTTGATTTTACAAAGTTTTCTCCCCTAAATTTTCATTTTTTTATACAAGATTTGAAACTGAATAGACTAAATTTTCAAAATTGAATATTTTTGTGAAGTTAAGCCAAATTAAAAAAAATACCAACGCATTAGAGTATGGTTGACAACTCCAAAACAAATCAAAGTGGGATCTCAATAACTTTAAAGAATACGAATTATTTACGAACTAGTGTTGTAGATTGTTGCAACAGTTGCGTTTCTTACGTTAGTGGCCGCCAGTTCCTTTGAATGAAACAGTACTTTATTACTTCTTGAGGTAGTGCAACTTCCGGATTATATTTGGTTATTGACGGATTCTTGACTCACGTTCTGACTAACATTTTGAAAATTTCTGATACTTCACAACACATTTCAAATATACTTCCATACTTGAGAATTCCTGAACTTTCATCACAACGCACAGTTCTAAAGCCTTGCCAAGTTTCCTTTCAAGACTGGTCAAAGTCCATTTCTTCTACATTAATTTCGCAGACGACGAACTACCTGAAGAGCTTAAATTGTCATTTCCTTGATTTGCACTGTTTTCATTATATTCACGGGACGTTGCGCTACTTTCGTTAATGCCAGAGGAGCCACTGATCTTGGTCTTCACTAACAGAAAGACTTTTTGGAAGCCGACTCACTTTTCTCCGACACAAATTCGCAAATCTAATGACTCCTCTAAATCAAGTTTCCTTAGTAAATTGTGGTTTACGTGCGTTAGAGATTTGTCCTTCTTAAAATCGTGACCAGAAAGATTAATGGATTGAAATATCTGTCATATCTCATATGGTGATCGCCACTCATGTTGCACAGTCTAAACACGATTCACAAAACAAACTCTAGCACTATTATATTTATAAGATTCGTATTCCGTCTTACTAATCCCGGAACAAGTTTTCATACGGACACGAGTTCAAATTCCGGACAGCGAAAAAAACAAATGACATTGCCCACGCCCTTGACAAGCCTGTAATCCGCGTCTGTTCTTCTGGGCACTAGTTTTTCGATGTCAAAGTGTGCACGCGGCATACTAGTATAGTTAACATTGTTTTCCAACTATTATTTTCGATACAGACATATCAATGTACTCGTATGATGGTTCAGTTGAATGCATTTGCAGTTACCCCTAACCGTCATTTTGATTATTATCCTTGCTAGTGACACGGTAAATTAGCTCGAAAGTAACAATATCTGTGACAATTATTGTCTGACAAGACGACTCTGAGCGACTCGGAAGCCAATGATTAGTTGCTTTCTATTATTATAATCGATGAGCGAATCATGGCCTTCGGGACGCTCAAAGCCGTCTTGCCGAATGTGCCGTGTTATCAGTAGGTGCTAATGTTGAAGTTCGATTTTTTTTGTCGAAATGGCAGCATTTTAAAAATTAAGTCTAAATACATTAGACATTTAAAAAATTAAATTAAATGTTCGAACTCTATAATCGTAAATTTCAATTGACGTTTTGATTAATCGGCCTTAATATAATGTATTTAATTGTGTTTATTAATCGTATAAAATAATAGATTATCGCACTAATTGTCGTAAATTCCTAGTAATTAATTGACGAATATCAAAATAAATTCACAAATTTAGAATACCTGGACACATTGCTCCCCGAAATGAACTAGTTGTCCGTCCAGCGACACACCAATAAGTAGAGACCCTGGCGAGCAACGGCCGCACTACGTAAGACTTTCGTTGCAGCAAGGAATGTCCATGGCACTGGCGAAAACAGCGTGGCCAAAACTGACCATATTTTTTTTATTTTTTTCAATAACGTTCAGTGCTTGGCGGCAGCTATTTTTTCCCAGCACATATAAATAGTGAACATCTTCAATAGAAAAAAAAAAACAGATCAGATTTCGTCCTGAAGCTGTTGAATGGTCCCTTTTCAGAGTGGGGAAGGAAGAATCCGATGCTGATTTGTTTTTTCAAAAAAATATACAATTGAATTTTCCGTTAAATGTTTCTCATGTCATTAATATTTACCTTATGGGCACTTCTTATACATATCACATTAGAACGAACAAGTGTTTGGAATGAATTCTTATGAAGTTTCTTGACAACTCGAAATTTTTGGGTGAAAATGAACTTCATAATTCTCAATTTCAGAAACGTTAAAACATCATTTTCTTAAATATGACCCCAAATTTTTCGATGAAAATTTTCATATAGGATCAGCTTTTACCCTTCTTAGTATATTCTTAAAGTCATATTTCAATTGTACTTTAGGTTTCCGACAGATCAAAGAAACGTAAAAAAGTGTTTTAGCAGCAGAGAATAGGTTGGGGCAAAACCGAATAGAGAGCCCAGACTGTACAGATAAGAAAACTAACTAGTCTCAGACAATCTATGCGCTTTGCAGCACTGCTAGTTACATTTTATTTTGATGACGTGATTGGGAACGAAAATAGCTCACAAATTTGATTGGAAATATTTCCTTTTGTATATTGCTTATATAGCAAATGACAGGGCCATTCTAGCAGACTCAGAAGAAAAACTACAAAGGGAAATTTTTACTCTCCTTAACATTGCCAGAGAAAATAATTCAAAATTATCCAGTTCTGAAACTAAAGTCATGGGATTGAGAAGTATTTCATCTTTGAACAAAGTCTGAAATGAATAACAACGTAACGAAACAGGTTTCTCATTTTACAGTACACTAGGGTGAGAAAAGTTATGGTATAGCAATATGCTAATATACAGTTAGCAGTAGTATGGCGTGTAAAAGCTATAAAAAGGCAATGCATTGGTAGAGCTTTCATTTGTGCTCAAAAGATTCATGTGAAAAGGTTCTGACGTGGTTATGGATGCAAGACGGGAATTTACAGAGGAATTGACGCGGGATGGTAGTTATGGCTAGCCGCATGTGGCATTCGATTTCGGAAATCGTTAGAGAATTCAATATTCCGAGATCTACAGTGTCAGGAGTGAGCCGAGAATACCTAGTTTCAGGCATAA